AAGCATTTAATGAACATTTATTGGCATTTTTTTCTGAGATTTAAATAGGACATAAAATTTTATGACAGGTAGAGTATTTTCAATAACTGTTTCATTATTTTCATAGATGGTGTAATAGTACATAAAGGGAAATGTCCATAAAATACCAAGAGTGCATTATTTTTGGAAGAATATGGTAATTTTGAAGTTTGTATAATGACAAAATGTTAGTGTGTTTTTCAAATAATACTGTAGATTTGTGGCTGAGTTTCTCTTTCTTTTTGTCTGTATCTTTTTTTCATTTTGGACACCTATAGTCTAGGTCAGAAAACTGAGAATTATAGTTGTTTGTTCTTTTGTTATAAAAAAGATAATAGATAATAGCTCACAATATTAAATTCTAGTTCTTTAGAAGTTACCAAACAACAAAGGCTATGATGTATAGCATATGTATGATTTAAACATTAGCTTGTTGTAGAAAGCCCAAACTATGAGAGTTGTATTACTGTTAAATCTACACAACTGTTTGACCAGTAGCCATAGAATGTTTGCCATTAAGCGTTTATACTTAATGTAGTATATACATTTGAACCGGAAAAAAAATTTAGGGAATCTTAAGTATATTGATATGCTCAAGAATCTTTCTCTTGTCTAAGTACTTTTGCTTTTATCCAGGAATGTCCAGGCATGAGAACAGGAATGCAAACTATAGCTAAGACCTAGTCATCTGGCCATTTGTGCTGCAATCCCCAGAATCACAAACAACAACAAAAAAATGATGAATATGATCATAGAACTTCATCCCTAGATACATAACAAAAAAAAATGAAAACAGGTACCCAAACATGTATATATATAAATGTACTCATCGCAGCATTATTCCCAATAGCCAAAAAGATGCCAATCAACAGATGAATGGATAAAAAATTTGTAATAATATAGTGGAATATTATTTTATGATAAAATGGAATAAAGTAGTGATATATGTTATAACATAGATAAATCTCTAAAATATTATGCTTACCAAAAGAAGCCAGCACAAAACCTCATAAATTGTATGATTCCATTGACATGAAATATTCAAAATAATTTAATCCATTGACAAAGAACATAAATTGGCTGCCAAGGAGTGAGGAGAGTGGACAATGGGGGGAAGGTGTGTAAATAGGTAAAGGGTTTTACTTTAGAGCAATGAAAATGTCTTGAAACTATATAGAGGTGGTGGTTGCACAGCATTGTGATTTACTAAATGCCATTGATGTGTTTATTCTCAAATGGTTCATTTTTTTGTTATGTGGATTCAGCATATTAAATTATTTTTAAAAAATTGCTGAGTGACAAGGTTGAAGCAGCACCATATCCTATATTCTCAAAATCACAACTGGTTTAAATAAGTCTATTCCATGAGGAGAGAATGTAGAATTTATCTTTATTGATCCCAGGGAGGCTTATGAGGGCTGGGAGTAATTTTATAGTTTTCTTGAAAGATGAATTCAATTTTCCTCTTAAATATAGTCTATTTTATTATGATATTAGATTATCACTGCTAGCAAAAATAACTTTTAATGGCTGTATTTCTGTGCTACTTTATTTTCCATGCTTGCCTGAGCTTTCAGTTGGTCTCACTGATCCATCCAAGAAAATGAAAACAGGAGAATAAATGCTCCTGTTTTAGGTGGGTTCTGTCTATGAAATGGGAAGATAATTATCCCAATGTAGATGGGCCGGTGAGGTTATTCAGGCACGAATGCTTAATTTTTGGCTCGTAAATCATTTAGATTAGATTGACCATATGAATAAAATAATATGGAAAATTATAAGTACTTTTTATATTTTGTGTGAAGCAGCCTGTGAAGATGTTGATGATTATTTGTACATATATACAAATGGTAAAGCAATTGCTTTCCATGGCTATGGTGTAAATATCTAGATTTTTCAGATGAATAAGACCATTGGGTTTTTATGTTATACATTTTTCCAAAGGACATTTTTTAAGGTTTCTGTATTTGAGAGTCCTCTTTGTGTTGGACACCTTGCTATGTATGTTGCATAAATTATTTATAATCCTTAGAATATCCCTCAAAGGTAAACATTATTTCATCATCACAGATGAAATATCTGAGGTTCAAGATATTAAATGACACACTCAGAAGGATGAGTGGTGCTAAGATTCACCTTCAGACACCTGACTCTGCCAGGTCAGAGCACCTTGATCCCATGACTAGGATCCCATTGTGCAGCTTTTTTTAAAATAAAACTTTATATAAAATAGCTCAGACGCATTTCAGAGTATGCCTATGACTATTAGTTTGGCTCTCCTAAAGAAAGGCTCTTCACTTTGCTCACATTTCTAAATTAGCCTGTATAAACAAGGTATCAAAATGTTGGTGAAATATTGACATTTAGCTCCACTAAAAATGTGTGTACCAGTTTATATGAAAGTTGAGGCTTAAAAAGCACTTGGGCAGGCAAAGTGAATACTAAGGATGCTGAATGATGACTAGAGAAGATGTTAAATTTTGGTCCTGGGAAACCTCAGTAACTGGGAAATTAAAGAAGAAAGAAATATAAAACAATTTGTGTGTCAGCCTAAGTCATTCAGAATTGGATGTCCAATAAATCTTCCAACATGGGCATTCTCTTTTCCTTATGCAGCTTTGGTACTGACTGTCTTCAAAATACCTTGTATTTTTCTACCATTATACTTTTGTTGACACTTTGCTGCCTGAAATACCTGCCCTCATTGGCACCAACCCTCAACCTTTCTCTTTCTCCAGGTTGATGATATTCCGCTGCCATGCTAAACCCCCAAAGGTCCACATCTTTCCTGAATTGCTGTAGTGTTTCCTGTTTGAAACACATATTTGCAGTTCAGCATTTACTTTTGGAGATGGTTTAAGTCTCATGTGTTTATAGCTCATCTCTGTTTTTACCTATGAGTTTTAGTGAGATACATAACAATTACTTTCACTTACTTACATACTATGTGCTCATCAAATAGGTGATAACTGTATAACTCTTGAAGGCAGAGTTTTCTCAAAACATATTCATAAAAATACCATTTCTGGGATGGGTATTCCTCAAAAAAAGATGACCATTGGTCAAATAAGGTTGAAAAACCTACATACCATTTCCACCATAGGAAATTTACACTATACATTGGCATTTTCAAAACTCTGAAAAGTTCTATTGTAATTAAGCCATTTTACTAATTTTACCCAGTACTTCTCAGCCCTTCTCACTTTTGTCTCTTATTTTCTTAGTATTCTTTGCAAGATACTGCTTTAAAGTGTTTTGTATACAAATGTTGCTAATAATAATCACAAATGTGGTAATTAAATTTTTATTAGATATAATTTGGGTGCTTTGTTTGGCCTGCCTCCCTCTGTACTTGGAAAAGCACTACCTATTAGCTGTACTAGTGTATTGGTATGTGTGTACACATACCACATAATGTGGACTCAACCTGAAAATAGATTGAGGCTAAAAAGAGAATGATTGGAACTGGTCTTTCAGTTTGATTATCTGCTAGAATATCTATTACTTTTCATAATATGCTTGAAAAGTTTTATTTGTACCTCAAGGGCAATGAGTGTGGCCTCATTTACAAATATGAATGCAGATATCAGCAGTGCACTCTCTTCTCCAGGCAGCCTTGCTTATTGTCAGGTTGTTTGATTTACTTCCTCAGAAGAGGAATATCCATCTCTGGAATTAGACACAGCACAGTTAATGGGAAAAGCAGAAGTTTTGGAGTGAGAAAGTGTTAAATTGATTCCCAGCTCAAGCCTGTGTGACCCTGACCAAGTTTTCTTTCCAGAGCCACTGACTTCTTGTCTATAAAAGAAGATGGCTCACACCTGCCTCAGGAGTTTCCTATGATGACAGTGCCTGGCACGAAGGAGACGCTGTATAAATATTAATCCCCTTTGCAGTTTTTTTAATGTTAGATTATGACAAGAGCATTCTACAGGCACAAAGTCACACAGGCAAACAGCCTCTTTCCTAGAGTTGCCATTCCATTTTTTTATGTTACTACCTCAAACTAAATGCTATCACTATTGTTTGCGTCTTCTGTTTTTATGATGTGACTGTGAATGGGAATGGGGAGAACAGGAAAAGTTGAATTATTACATATGAAGAGAAATATTAATTCTAAAACTAAGGAGTAGGTAACCTAAAAGAAGGTTTTTTTAAAAAAAAATCATGATAATCATTCAAGATATGGAATAGTAACTTAGTTATGAACCCCTTGATCCTTATAATATACATGTGTTTATTTATATTATAATTATATACATATAAATGTTATGTGTGTGTATATATACATATCTACATATATATAGTAATTCATTAGCTCATTTAAATGGGTAATAGTAAATGCATTAGGAAGAATTTTGGACTGGTTTTCAACTTTTGTTTGAACACATTATATAATTTAGCCACAGATCCATTTTCATTGTGGTTTTGGATTACTTGCTACTATGAACAAATAGAATAAAAGAATAATGGTGTGATAATTTTACTTAAGTTACATATTTGGAGGCAAAAACACATACCAGAAAATTAGACTGATGAAATTCTTTTTTATAGGGTAGAATAGGATGCTGAGCATACATTATGCTTTTTCAGGCTAACAGACTATTCTGATCCCCATTTTGCAGAAAAACATGCACTTGTTACATGTGGTTGTCAGGAATGCCTCTATCATGTCTGTCTTCTGCCATCCATGGCTAAATTGTTGCTGGAAGAAGCCTATTTTGTTCATATGAAGGCTGACAAGCACCATCTTTGCTGTGATATCTACCTTTCTAAATGCCAAATGATCTCCTGGCAGCTTTTCTTGACACAAATATCATGAATAGTGAAGAAACCATCATTATTTGCTATTTATTGGTTTAGATACCAGGTGAAGTCTTCTAAGTTAAACTGAAATAATAGAGGAAGCGGTTAACCTAAATGTTCCTTGGACTGGCCTTGCTTATGTGTTAACCAGCATGTCTTGATCTGGTTGATTACAGGAGAAGATGTATCAGGGAATCTCTGCCCAGCATCTTTTCCTCCTGAATGGATAGCTTGTGAAATTCCCTGCAGGATGGATTGTGTGGTGAGTGAGTGGACAGAGTGGTCATCCTGCTCCCAGTCTTGTTCAAATAAAAACTCAGATGGGAAACAGACCAGGTCAAGGACGATCCTGGCATTGGCTGGAGAAGGTGAGTAATAGTAAAGTTTTCAATGAAGTCAATTGTCCAGTTATTGTTTTCCAATAGACAATTGCGAAGGTCATATGATAGAAGTAGCCACATAGAAGTGATGTCTACAGTCCTTGAATCCAAATGAACACTTTCCTTTCCTTGTGTGCCTTGTCTCTTTAATCCTCAAGTTTATCTCTGTTGGGTTCTAGTATTTACAAGAATTTAGAAAGAATATTTTTCATTATGCTTTTTTAAGGAAGAAAACAAAGTTTGGTTGATTCACATCCAGTTTCAGATAGCTCATGAAGTTGGGAACATAATTGGAAAATGTCTGGTAAAAAGAGTTCTAAATTAGGATTTAAGAGACATGGCCTCTTAACTGGGAACCGCTGATAGCATTAGCCAGCTACCTGATCCCTGTGCGCTGATCTTCTGTTACGTCATGCTGCCATGTAGTGAGAGGGAAAAGGATGAAGGCTGCAAAAATGACTTTGAAGAAGCTAAAATGTGCAGTGGGAATGTAAACAAATGGCAACAGAAAAAAATTAGAGGAACAGACGTTCCTATTATTTATAACAATGGTCTCTGTCTCCAGACAACATGCACCATTACCCTCAGGCCCTCCCTTGGTTTTGTCTGCCTACCGCTCAGCTGGAACAGCAAGGCAGTATGGCCACAGGCTGCAAGGAGCTCCCTTTTAAATAGGATTCTGTTCTGTGATTCCAAGAAAGGAGGCCAGGGTCAAGATGAATGAAAATTTTTGTATTCTTAAAGTGTAGTTGCCTCCCCTTCTTGTCTTTTATATTCTTGGAAGGAATAAAGTCTATAGTATTTAATGGGGAAGAATAATAAGAATAACAAAACCAAAGTCACAAATCTTCTTGAGCATTTGGCCCACTGAATAAAACATTATAGTGTGGAAGAGCAGGAAAAAAATCAATACTTTAGACAAATACCAGTTTTTACATGGATATAAAAATGTGAAAGAAAAGACAGTGATGAAATTTGATTGTCTGACTCACCCAAGAATGTAAGGATCCACATCTATCTGGTCTCCCAGCCAGTGGATAACATTGTCAGATATTATTTTAGAGTTTAAGGATGGGCTTTCTCTTGCCAAACTTTAACAGAAACTTCTGGATTTCTTAAATTGAAGTAAAATGCACTGCTTGATGGAGGACGGGTGTCTTAAAATGGTACTCTGATAAAAATAATGCTCTCTTGGGAAAGAGAGACCATTTAGAGGCAGTGTGTGTGTGTGTGTGTGTGTGTGTGTGTGTGTGCACGCGCGCGCGCGCGCGTTCGATCAAATAGCAGTTCAAGGTCATGGGCTATTTTATCTAACTGATTAATTTATGTAGGCATACTAATATTAAAATTTTTTTTTAGTTTATCTTAGAGATAACTGCCTGACTCAGAGGTGGACAGTAGAATCAGTTATTTTTTAAAAAGTATAATTGACATGTACTGTTCCCTGTTATGCAGAGAATGGCACACCATATTGTTTTTAGATTGTTAATCAGGAGAAAAGTGCCACGGCCTTATAGTGAGAAAAACGATGCAGTGGCCCAGGCTCTCAGAAAGCTGTATCAAAAAGGCTGTTTTCCTAGACCATAAAAATAGCAAAAACAACATATATAAAAATAACAATAACAACAGCAACATATTAATAAAAGTATCAACAGCTATGTATTCTTTTTTTATTTTGATTTTTGCAGGTGGAAAACCATGCCCCCCTAGTCAAGCTCTCCAAGAATATCGCTCATGCAATGATCATTCCTGTATGCAACTCTACTGGGAGACATCACCTTGGGGCCCCTGTTCAGAAGACACGTTGGTTAGTGCCCTCAATGCGACAAATGGATGGAATGGAGAAGGTACATGTGGTGTAGGCATTCAGACACGGAAAGTCATTTGTGTGAAGAGTCACGTGGGACAAGTGATGCCCAAAAGGTATTGTCAATAATTTAGTGAAAGTGCATAGAATTTTTGCACAGTGTAGTAATTTAAGTCAAAAGCACTGAATATGTCTCCATCTGTGCTAAAGCAATATATTTTTGTTTTGTTTTGTTTGACTCTTAAACTTAAAAAATATGTCTTAACAAAAGTAGTTTACTAAGTTATATGTACATCAGTTAATAGATAAGAGTAAATAAGACCCACAAATATGCAATCTGTTTAAGTAATCAAATTTTCTAGAGCCAATCTCAATATTTTTGACTCTTTCTTGATCAAATAAAGGCTAAGTTCACATGAAGGTAGGTTATAAACTTTGAAAATAATAGGGTTGTGCCCTGGCCGATGTGGCACAGTTGGTTATTTCAGTTAGACAAACCGAAAGATTGCAGGTTTGATTCCTGGTCAGGGCACATGCCTAAGTTGCAGGTTCTGCCCCTGATCGGGGCACATACAAAAAACAAACAATGGGCATTTCTCTCCTTCTCTTTTTCCCTCCTCCCCTCTCTAAAATCAATAAATATATCCTTGGGTGAGGATGAAAAAAAGAAAATACAGGGTTGTGGTATTTTCTTCTTTAGGTACCATTGCTCTTTTCTGCAATGAGCAATAAATCCATACAGCCATTTTGAATAGATTGATTCTTGCCCTTTAACAGGTTTACAATCTCATGAACACTATACTCTGCCCATGAAGATGTAATTTTAAAAAAAGGAATAAGATATTTTGGAAATGGAGATTATGATATAGGTATCAAAAAGGATCAGGAATAATTGCAAGTGATGGAGGAAAAAGAGTAATTGAGTGTAGAGCTCAGCTGCGGGAGTGTCATCTCTAGACCAAATGAGGATCTCCTCATTTCCCCAAGTTCACGGGAAGGCTCACGGAGAAAAAAATGTAAGGGGCCTATGCAATACACAGAGATTGGCAAACTTGTCTCTCCGTGGAGATTTCCAAGTGGCCATGTTTGAACTATTCCTTTCTTTGTGGTGAAACACCCCACCCAGCCACAGGAACCATGGGTCACTAGGATGGGCTGGTGCAAACTAGGAAACCTAGAGATGTTCCCAGAAATTTTCAAGATGGGAAATGAAACGCTATCTTTTTACTATACTGGTTACTCTAAGTATATGAATTGAGAGTTGTCATAGCCATGGTTAGGCCTGGTGGAAAAAGCAGGAGGCAGAATGAAGCTGATGGTCAGAAAGAAGCATAAATTGAAGCAGAACAGATCCTGGCAGCATCAAGCCCTGGTTTCATCCCCTCTAATTATACCCTTGCCTTTCCTGGCAACCTAGGCAATACATTTGCTCTTCTGCCTAATTCAAGCCAATTTGTATTGCTGCCATGGGCAACTCAGACACCTGATTAATTTCATCTTGGGGTACTACAATGACGGGCTCTGGGCCTGAGCCACACTGCCATGGAAACCACACTTAACTGTGTGTGTAAGGAAAGTCACAGAAGCTCAGTTAAGGGAAATGAAGTGCTGATGACAGAAATAGTGCAGACTGGCCAGATGCTGCTGATGCTAGAGCATCTGATGAGCAGCTGGCCCCAAAAATGTAAGTAGAGATAACTATGACTTGAAATAAAACACACTCAGGAAGACCTCACCTGCCTTTCCTCCTAATAGTGGCTTCCAAAGGGCTAGGACTGGATATTCTACATTGTCAGAGCCCTGGACTTTAGCACAGTATCTAGCAGAAATTTAGTGTTCCATAAACATTTTAGAATGTATGAATTAACTTGACCTATGTGTAGGAAAGTAGCAGAGTTTGCCAGGGATTGGACATGAATTACAGAAAACTGAGAGTATGTTTATTCTTTGCTTCAAAAATATATTTTATCTACCATAATATTTTTTAGCAAAGAGGATTGCCATGAAGACCAAGGAACAACGGATCATACATCTGACCTTCTGCTCTTATTAACTCATAAATGTAATTTCTGTTTAGAATCCAATGCTACATTGTTTGTGATGTTTTTTAGAACATCAAATTATGTCAGTGTGTGGTTTAACTTGCTTGGTATTCATAACAACACATGGACTGATGGAGCCAATGAGAGTTATAGCTAAACATGCACATTAATGTTTCATATCACCCAGTTCAGGTGATTTTCTAATCCCTGGGGTTATGGTAAAAACCTAAATGGCTTAAAAAGGTATTATATAAAATAACCCCTTTTTTCTTGGAAAGGATTTCAACCTTGATAGTGTTATTTTTATGATGTAACTGTTCAACTGCTTAAAAAAAGATGCTTGAAAGATTAGCTTTAATATACAAATAAAAATAAATATGTCCTAGATATATAAGAGTTAACCTTTCATGATGTGCAAATATGTTGTTTGCAGTGATGAGGAAATTTAGCATACTTGAAGTCTGATCTTCTACCTTTGAAAAAAATTCTTAGTTCTGAATCACAACAGGAAAAATCCACTTGATGGGAATGCAATTTATTTATTTCTTAGCACAAAGGTATATTGGAATTGAGACAGACATCTACCAAATAAATTATCATTACAATTTAAAGGTTATTTGGACAAGAAGAGTTGGATTATATATTCAAATAGTTCATTTCCTCTTCTATCCTAATAATTACTTTGAATAACAGTTTTTTATTAAAGGCTGAGCACATCAGCTTACTCTACTCTTACCTAATAATACTTTGTGTCCCCCCAAATCACAAGACCAAAAGTTTATAGTCAAAAACATAATTCAGAAATGAATATACATTTCTTTGAAAACTTACATAAGTAAGACTAAACTATTATTATTACAGTGAATAACCTCCAGGTTTGCTCAGTTTTTCAACATGGAAAAATGAATTGCACATACGTTTTCCCTAACACACACACACATACACACATACACATACATTAGTAACACATACACACATGTATTACTAATCACTTTTTGCATTGTTAATGAGGCTGGAGACTTAACCTAATTTTAATTCTTAGTGTGCATCTCCAAACAATTCTACTAAACACAAGGAGTCTCCATTGACTTTAGTCAAGTTAATTAAAATTCTTGAGGTTAATGATATTACTTGAGCTAAGAAAATAATAGCTACTATACAGTGAAGCACACTATGAGATAGTGAGATTACCACCAGAAATTATTCTTTTCTCTGCCCTTTCAAAAACTGTATTTTTGTTCTTTTTCATGTGAAAGCCATTTCAGTGGAAAAAGATCCTTGGCCATTTGTCAAATCCTGGTGGTGGTGGTGGTGGGGCAATCAAAAAAAGAAAGAAGAAAACATCCTAAAAAAAGAGTGCCCTTCAGGTAGAATGGAAGAAACATGTCTCCATGGGATGGATGAGCTAACCTAATGTACTTTATCTCAAAACGCATTGCACTGGGATGCACAGAACTCCTTGCAAGTTCTTGCTTCCCCTGGTTGGGATTTGTTTTCCATGCAATTGTGTAGGTGAGAATGTTCCTATTGTATGAGTAATAGAACTGATCGTATCAGAAAATGAGAATTAGATGGGGCACAACTGAAGCAGATGTGAGAGCTTGTTGGTATATTTTGGGGGCTTTGTTTGGTTTTTTCACCATTCAATACGTTTTCAGCTGCATTGTAGAAAAATAATAATAAAGATTAAAAACACACAACTCAAAGCCTTCCAAAGGTCCTGATAAAGCACTTTCTGCCTTTAATGTATAACCACCTGGCATTTTGTGAGATATAGGAATGTAAAGCTCCAGTTAAACATTTACTGTTTAAAAAGTTGTCAGGTTTGCCCCCTTCGCTGAGTGAGATGGCAGGTCAGTTCCTGGGTAGGAGGACTGCTCAAGAAGATGGAGCACTGTGTCTGCATCTTGATTATGGAGACACACTGAAAAATGGCAGGTCTTTTTTAAATTAAATTTATTGGGGTGCCATTGGTTAATAAGATAATATAGGTTTCAGGTGTATGTTTCTATGATACATGATTTGTATATTGCACTGTGTGCCCACCATCCAAACTCAAACCATCTTCCGTCACCAAATATTTGGCCCCCACTGACCCTCTACTAACTACCCCCCGACCCCTTCCCTCTGGTAACCACCACACTGTTGTCTGTGTCTATGAATTTCAATTTTTTACTCCAAATATGAGTGAAATAATGAGGTTCTTACCTTTTTTCTGGCTAACTTATTTTGCTAAGCATAACATTCTCAAGGTCCATCCACGTTGTCACAAATGGCAGTAATGCATTTCTTCTTGTCTGCATCTTGATTATGGAGAGAAAGTGAAACATGACAGGTCTTTGTAGCTCAATTTCATGTAACTCAGTACAGTGTTTATAAGTGAATTTAGCCTATGGGGCGACCAAGAGATAATCATTATAGGAGACTCCAGTGCAAGTCCAGGAAAAGAATATGTACTCAAATGAAATGCTTTCATCCTTTTATCAAGAGCACTGCCAATGTAGGATCAGTGTTTATTATATGAAAGCTGGAAGTATAACTTATGACAAACCTAAGATAAGGGGTCATACTTTGTTTACTGACTAAAAAGTGAATCCATGTTTCCTTATATTTTAAGGCTTCAATTTTGTTTTGGAATTGGCTGCATAAATTTTTCTAATATCCTTAGTGATTTATTTGTTTTCAGGCTTCAATAGCATAGAATACTATTCAGTCATTCACTTACTGTTATCTACAATGCACAAATATCTGGCATTTCTAAGATATGATATAAGATAGAATTCTACCATCAAAACATTCAAGGTGAGTGTATGTATTTGGCATGCACACCCATGTACATTTGCACACAAACAACAAAACAGTAGCACAAAAGGTGTTAAAAGCTTTTTTTTCAGTCAGTGACAATACAACCTTATAGTTTTAGAAGAGGAGGACACAAAAGTTGCTAGTTGTAAAGGAGAATATTTTTAAAGACTAAGGGGAAATTTATGAATATTGGAAATGTTCTGATCCTTGAAGTGGTAGACAATGTATAAATAGAAAGGAAGGGAAAGTTGAATATCTGAAGGAAAGGCAGATCTTTTTGGAAGAAGAAATGAACAAAGGACAGTTCTACTGGCAAGGGAATAGTTGGCTCCTATCAGACCAGAAATCACATTACAGGAGAGCCCTCAGTTCGTGGCCTCTATAAAAGCACTGTAACCTGAGCTTGACCTTTGCCACTGAGGGAATGATACCATTACTCTTATAGACTTAGTGGAAGAATACAGAGAGAAGCGGGGCTGGCCATATTGCAGAGAGCTGATATTGGGTTCAGGGAGTATTTATTGTGAGTAACGCTAAAAAAGTTAAATAAAGTAGGCAATATCGGTTCCCTAGAAAAATTAACACCTACTCCTAACTGAAGTGAACAAAGGCCCTGAAGTGTTAGCCACCATCTCCAGAAAGTCTAAAGCAATAGCACCACAAGTATTTCTAAGCTCTTTTGTGAATGTATGAGTGAGTGTGTACTGGGTGGGTGTGGGCCCTCCCACCCCACTGAGTACACAGAAAGTTGGCTTTACTAAGGTTGTACATTCATTCCAGCAATTGCAGTTCAGTTAAATTTTAGTAGATATCAGAGTATGAATAAAGAACTTGGGAGTGATTTTACTGGTTTTTCTTTGCTATTTCTACTGAAGTATGACATAAATTTTACTTACCAGCATTGCTTATTTAAATAACACCATATCCTCATAAAGACACCCTAGGAACACTCTTTTTTCTTTCTATTGTTGTATTCATCGAATTGAACTATTTGATAGACAGGTTTTTGTGTGTGTTAAGCATGATTAATAATAATGTCACTACTAATTAATTGAGCAATTCTTTTTCTGTGAATATATATACTTCCCATTTTCATCAAAGTATGATATGCTCCATAGTAGAATGAAAATAATACATTTTATTTCCTGATGATGAAAAAAATAGATGATGGGAAACGACCAGTCACCAACCTTGTCCTACTCTGCTAAATAACCCCCATCCCAAATATAATCATTTCTTAATAGTTGCTGTGGCTTTTTCCCCCCATTTCCATTACTTTGACTGGGTAATTCCTCACATGGTTCACAAATATTAACACTATATAAGGAGATGTATAATAATAACGACAAGAAGCCTTAACCTACCCCTACTCTCCTGAACCCCTTCCTTACCTCCTGCCCTAACATTGGCTACTGCTTTATTAGTTTCTATCTGTCCACTGTGTCTTTATATCAATACAAACCAGCCTGATTATATATTGTTATCTGTCCTCCCTCTCTGAGGTTTAGCTCCTAGTGCTACATTATATATTTTTCATATATCACTTATATAGCCATTTCTCAATCGAAAATGTGCATTTATTGATTCCTTTCATGAAAGGATTGAATCTAGCCCATTTACACTACTTCCCCTCCTAATTCCCCACATTGTTGACTCTGTATCTTATTTTTTTATGTGTAGATTGGCTTTCTGACCCCCTGCCTTGTTAGACAAGGAGGTCCAAGCCTCCACTTTCTCTTCTTCTCCTTATATCCCCGGTCCTTTGCCCACTGTGCCTTCACCTAATGGTGGCAAGAATGATATGTACATTCTGTTCCAGAGCCCATAGTATCCATGTTTTGTCTACGTATTGTTTATAAAGATTTAAAACTAAGAGAATGTTTTAATTTTTATAACTATGTAAATCAGTGGGGTCCAATATCAGTCAGATTCTTCTTCCTTCTTAAATTACCTGTTTTTCTTCTTCTCCCTCAAATATTATCATGTCTTTTCTTACTTTCTTTAGGTATTTGAAATTTGGACAATCTCTGTGTTTGCATGTTCTAAGAGACACGTGACAATTACTTAACTATTGTAGAATTCTGTTAATAGTCAAAGATGTGCAATATATTTAAGTGGTCTTCACTGGTTTTTCTTTCCCAGTTTTTCTATATATTGCCTCATATTTCCCTCATTCTTTTGAAGAATATCACTGATTTAATATATTACGCTGAATAAAACACTTTTCAAAAAATATATGCTCATTCTGGAAAAAAAATCCAAATGTTTTATGAACTGATGCTGATGAAGAGACACTTTCTTGACATTGTCTTTAGTTAGTTTCAGGGATTGTTCTTGTCCTGGCTTGGAGAAAAATAGTGTCTGGGAGCAGGGAGCTGAAAAGTCTGTTTCATCTCTGGCTGTGAGCCCTTGGGCAAGTATCTTCACCTTCTTGGGTCTCTTTTATCTCATCTAGTTAAAGGAAAAAAACAATGAGGGTGATGTTTTCTGTTCTGAAATCCTACAGTTCTATGTTAAAGCACTTACTTTCTCCAGCAGGCATTGATGTGATCTCTTCATCTTGACAGATGTCCAGATTCTACTCGGCCAGAAATGGTGCGCCCTTGTCCCCTCCCATGCAAAAAAGACTGTATTGTGACTGCGTTCAGTGAGTGGACACCCTGCCCGAGGCTGTGCCAATCAGGTAAGAGGATGCTGTTTTCTTAGTGCTTCATTTCCTAACCACCTAATTGTTTTCCCAACTGCAAAATAAGTGAGAGACTCTGGAATGTGGGCCCCCTTCTTTTTCATTTGCAAGCCACCTCAGGAACAAGGTTTGTAAAATTTGTAAATGAAGTCTTGGATTTCTTGATCCATCAGAACTAGGCAGGGAAAACATTCAGTTGCTTTGCACCATAATTTCACCTGTTTGTGCTGCAGAGGTACTCATCTTCTGTTAACCTTGTTGTGCCATTTTGGCATTTTGAACCATCTACATGTGGTTCATTATAAAACATCATTACCATAATAATTTCTTTGTTGCTCCTGTATGCTTGGAGCCTGACTCCAGGTATTTTCTTTGGAATATAGGACTTTAAGTACTATGCTTATGTCACTGATGAATATAAACCTGTGGACAATAGTTCTGAAAACTTGAATGGATAACAAAATTGGCAATATAAGATTTGTATTTTTTACTTTTAATGGCTGTGCTTTATACACCTGGGTGTATTTGGAGGGCTGTGATCCAGGAAACTTAGTACCAAGTTCTAATAAACACACAGGAGCACTTCGGTAAAAGACCCTCTTTCTTAGAACAGGTATATCCTCCCATGATTATGACAGCTCCCTGATGAGCCAGTCCATGTGGAGATATAAATACTCCTAACCCCAAAGCTCTGGTCTAAGCCTAAATCCAGGAGTTAGTACTTTAGTTCCTGATCCTTAGTCTCACACTTTAGCTTTAGTTCTATAGATCTTACCATTGTCATAGTTAAAAAAAAAAGCACATTCAAGAAAAGGAAGGATTGAAAGAATATTAACCTTAGTGCCCAGAGTAGAGGAAACTGGGTCTCATCGACACATCCCAGGCCTTCTCTTGCTACCCATGTCCGCCTAAGTGAGGCATGGTCCTTGTAACTGCTGCACTAACCTCCTAGAGGAAGGGAAAAGGAAGTGTTCTGCAGTTCTGCAAAGAGAGAATCCATCACAGAGACTGAAATCATTAACATGTTTCTTTGCTAAACTCCAGGCCTATGAATCAGGGATCCCCAAAATTACTTGATTGTCACATATTTTCATGGGAGCAATATGACAATATGGCTAACATTGACATATTTTCTGACTGCCATTTAAACCACTTCTCAGTGATTGACAAAAGCATAGGGACAGCTGTTGAGTATTATCGTCATCAGAGCCTTAGTTTGCAGTAGTGAGGTACCTGCACAAAGTGTTTATAATGTGCAATTTCATCTTCTTAATGTTCCTTTGTCACAGCATTAGTCAAGTAGCATTCAATGAGCTTTGCTTATGGGTAGAATCAGAAACAAATATAGTGAATGCAAAAGATCAGAAACAAATATAGTGAATGCAAAAGAGCTTTGAAAATACAGTGAAATATTTATCTGATCTTTCAAGACATGGAAACAGCAATCTCGTCTAAAAATTCTCCAAGACTTATTTATGTGAATGAAGTTTGGAAGTAAGTGAAACAAATGAACAGGATTTCTTCAGAGTACTCAGGAGAATGGCATTTCCAGACAAAGTAGGACAGAAAAACTACAACCTATATTTTGAACCATTTGAAAGGCAGTATCTACAAAACTGGCTTTTGGAAGAATTTTAAGAGTAATGAACCTGAAAAAGATCCCAGCTCTTAAAGATAAATATTGGAAAAATTCACTAAGATAAAATAATCTGTGATGATGGAATTTTATTGAGGTTCAGCTATTCTTTTAGTTTCTTTCCCATGAAAGATTAGCACAATTCTTTTGTTAAATGCTTCAAAGAAAGGAAGGCTGCATTACAAAGAATACCCTGTTGGCAGCCAGATATGCCAGATATTGGTGGTGGAGCTGTAATGGTCCCCTGACACTTAGGAGGTATATTAGTTTTGCTGAGCCAGTGCACCCTCGTGGGGAGAGATTTCTTCAGCTACTGCTATTTCATATATTCACATTCGAGAAAATTCCCTCTGCTTCCTGAGGGTCTTCTCCTAGCACTGGCTAAGAATGGAGCATGTGAAATAATTCCTCTTCCATCAATTTGAAATTTTACTCCCATTTCCTAGAAATTCACTTAGTTATTTAAATGTTGGCATTGAAATAAAAATAGTTCCAAGCCTCTGTGGTCTCTTTTTGCCTCCAATTTTTCAAGTCTAGATAATTCTTTTCACAATCTGGCACCAAAGGGACCTGGAGGAGCAAATATTCAGTTTTCAGATTTCTTCTAGCTTTCCACTTTTATTCTATCTATCCTCATGTTTAATTATGCCTTGGGACCAGTACAAGGGTGGGCAAAAGTAAGTTTACAGTTGTGAGTACACAAAACAGTTTATTCTTGTATTATTATTTATTCTATTATATATTTTTTCATATGAACAACTGTAAACCTACTTTTGCCCACCTCTGCATATTATTAAGTTACCATGGATTGTTTAGGGGTCGGGAAGCCTATGAGGAGGAAATTATTGGAGGAAATGGCACCTGCAAACCTATGGTTCTCAATCTTTATTGCCTCTGAACTGGTTGGAAGCATTATTAAAATGTGTATTTTCAGTCCTATGACCAAAAATTCTGAGTCATTAACTATGGGATGTTTCTTAAAAGTTTGAGTCATAAGAAGCTGCTGCTATATGGTGATGTATTCTCCACTTATGATAAAAAAGGACCAAAGAACAAACACTGCTTGAACTCTGGATATATGGTATGTTTCCTCAGCTTCTTGAATGCCTTGTGTTTTTTAGAGCTCAAATGTTGTAGCTAAAAACATAGACGATGGAGCCAAATGGCCAGAGTTGAATTCCAAAGTTTGCTCTGTGACAGTAGGTACATTATATAGTCTTTCTCTGCCTTAGTTTCCTCATCTGTAAAGCACCTAAATAGGAGGAAAGCCGTTAGAACAATGTCTTGCATGGAATAGGCACAGGGCAAGCACTTCTCTAGTATTTCTAAGCCTTTTCACAAGCTCTGCATGAGGCTGGCACTGTGTTTAGCTGCCCCTCCTTCCTGAGCCCTCAGCCTGTACAGCGCAGGGACCTGCTGTAACAGCTTTCCTCAGGAATGCTGCTCTCATCTCCAAAACTGCATGAGACCACCCCGCTCCACTTCACTAACTGGGTCATTCCACAACATCCCACATGTTTCCTTCCTGATGCTCCTTTACTTTTCTTTCCTTGTGAATATTGACGTTGCTGATTGTAAGACTATAAATGCGGGGACCAACTCTGTTGTTTTCGCTGCTGGATCCTCTAACCCAAGCATAATATGGGGCATAGTTGTCACTCAATAAATATTTTTTTTGAATGGACAGATATCCTATAAAGAGAGAGGTGGGTATGGCTTTGAATCAAGGCAGTGGATTCTCTGTCTTGGAGAGTGTCCTTCAAAAGATGCTTTGAGAAATAGTGTTCCAAATCAGTACTTAGCAAACTTAACTGATTATGCAAGTCCCATGGGGACCTTATTAAAATATAGTCTAATTCAGTAGACCCGAGAGACCATGAAATTATATCTTTTGACAGGCTCCCAGGTGATACCTGAATGTAATTTAGTGTCTGTGGGGTTGGAGGTCATTAGAAAGTTTTGAGCAAGTCAATGAACAGTCAACATTACAAAGTAAGAATCATGGACTAGGGACAGACCATCAGGTGGGGACATAGGTTTGGTATGAGGTAGAAAAAAGTTGTTTAACCTAAACTGAGAGATCAGGAGAGGGACAAACCTGAGCAGGTGGCATCGTCAACTAATGAAGATGGACGAACTTTTTCTTTTTTTTTAATACCTGTGGTTTTAGGCTGGGTCATCAATGCTGAAAACAGTTTATTCCCATGGTCTCCAAAATTGCCGCATAATGGAATCACCTGGAGATCCCTAAAATACACAAAAACATTATGATTTAAAGTTTATGTGAATTCCAAACCAAATCTACTCCAAACCTCTCAGAAAGCCAAGGTAATTCCAGGGGGAGGAGTGACTGTACCTTAGCAATGGGAGGCTTGTGTCAGGTTTTATTTGGTCCCGGCTGGGTTCATGAGCTAAACTCTTACAATTTAAATGTCTTCAAGCCATGAACACTCTCTGACTAGTATCTGGCCATACTTCCTGGCTTCTTACTCTTCCTCACATGAATTTCTTCTGGAAAGAATAATGGTAGTCCTATGTTCTTCTTAGTAAACCAAATGTTTATCAAGTTGCGGTCCTGTTGTCTCTCTAGATTTTAAGTCCCAGTAATAACTTAGGCACATAATCAAGAACCATTCTTTGGTACATTTTTTTGCTATTTTTTCCCATTTTTCATTTAGCCTATAAAGTAAATACCTGCCTGAAGTACCCAATGCTGTTTGCTTAATAATAGCAACAGTTGTTAATTTAGAGGTTCTCAGATCTGCGGGGTTTTTTTCAATGTACAGATATCAGCCATGTTAGTCAGAATCTCTTCATGTTTAAGGGAATTTTGCAATATTAAATCTCTCCAGTGTTCTGGTCAAGATGGCGGCACAGGTAAATAGGGTCCTCGAATCCCCCCACAACCACCTCAAAATTACAGCTAAGCTGCACAACAACCATTATTGAGAGCACCTAAAATCTAGTTGAACATAAGTCATACAGCTAAGGATCTGCAGATAGGAGAGGTGAAGATGCAGAATAAGCTGATCCAACATCCATATGTGGTGCATAAAACTCAAGAGGGATATCCTGGCTATGGAAGCTCTCTTTGATGAACGAGGGGTCCCAGTTCCATAAGCGATTGTTATAAATGGGCAAGATTGAGAAATACTTATTTACTGCTTTATATTTTACAATATGTCTTCACATACACTTTAGCCTACGAGATCATTGATAATTGTTTGCCTGATAGTACTGGAAATTATTTATCTTGGCCTCTGCTCTCATTACCACCACATCTAATTTAAAGTCACAGATCAGTGCTGACTTTTCAAGATTTCTCTCAGGCTCTTTGTAGGGCCTCATTGTATCATTTCAA